AAGACAGATATGTTCTAAATTGCACCTTTTTTTTAAATACAATAAACTTGACAGCCTAGTGAGATACTCTCCCTACTGAGGTTTCTTTTCTATTCTCCTTTGGATGTTTCTTTTCTTTGGGCCCTAAATTGTGGTTGACTATATTCTGTTGCCCCCATAAATGCTTTTGCTTTATGCTTAGAGTCAGCTGAAAACGAGTTTCATAGGTCTGGTGTAAACCCTTGCACACGCCCTCTTGTGCCAGAGCACTTTCCTTGGCTGCACTGGGATTGTTGATTGATGGGGTCAGTCCCCTTGGGAACCACATGAGGTACTTGGGAGAAGGATCCCTCTCCAAGGCCGAATTTCTCCAAAATGGTGAATTACCAGCTAGTTACACCAATGCACTGAAAATACCTCTTGAGGTGCAACGTAATCATTACAAATCTACACTGGCCAGATCTTGAGATCCTTGGAGGTCAATCTTTTAGTCACTTGTTTATCAGTCCATGATAAATTCACTTGTACAAATTTGGCCATTTTTCTCTAGGTTTAGGAGATAAGTACAAGGCTTTGTGCACAAATGAAGGATCCAGGTTAACTTCAAAATAATGCAAATGTAATTTTAAAACTATAGCCATATTTTCTACTTTTCACTTTTTTCTTTTCTTTGCTTGGTAAAGATGGCTTTGGGCAAGTCACCTCACTTTTCTGGGGTCTTCTTTGCTCATATTTAAGATGAAAAATGTTGATCTAGATCAGTAGTTTCCTACCCAGGATATTGAATTTCTGAACACAAGCACAAGCATCATCTATAGTCTGAAAAATAAAATATCTTGCCATTCATATGCTATCATTTGTTTAAAATTTGAATTCTTAATTTTGTTTTTATTCTAATAAATATTTGTTAAACAGCATCTTTTGTATAAAAAAATACAATATTATACATGCTTACTCTAGAAAATTGGAAAATAGAGAAGATAAAATAAAATCACCTATGATCCTGCCACACAGACATAGTGACTATTCACATTTCACTATATATTCATCAAGTTTTCTTTTTATGCATATTTATACGTATATTATTTTTAGTAAATTGAAATATACTCTAGGCATGATATTTTATAACTTGTTTTTTTACTTCATAATATATCATAAATATTTTCCTAAATCATAAACTATTTCTCTATAAGGTTTAAATGACAGTCCTATATCTGAGTACATATCGTTATTTTTGAATATTTAGATTGTTTCTAATATTTCATTATTTTTAACAATACTGCAATGAACATCTGTGATATTTAGAATTGTTATTCTTATCAATGCTGAAATTATTCCATCTCAGGACGACAGGAGCCTCTTCGTGGTGGCTCCTGACTTGGTTTGAGACAACCCCTAGAGTCTTTCATAGCTTCCCTGCTTTCCAGTATGATCGATATTCCAGGCACCATTTGCATGTGTTGTGCCCTGTACCTGAAATCAGCCAATTCTCCAAAGAGCCCTCATCCCTTTTAGTGGAAATGGTATTTAGAGAGCACCATCTGGGCAGGAGAGGAGCTTATTGCTACTGTTCCTGGCTTGCCAATTGTTGCTAGGTCTTTTCAGAAGACCTAGAACCTAGACCTAGAATTATTTAGAAAATAATTTTTTAAGAAAAAAAGCATTATGAGTTTACAGTGATGTTTCAAATCCCAACTTATGATAATAAGGTTTTTACTAATTTCTTTAATTTTATGTTTGCATCTCTTTTTGCTTACTCTGAAAATCTTGATCCCTGATGATATAAACATAATCGTGTTTATGCTTCATTCTAATATCTATACATCCACAACTTAAGATAAAGCAAAACATGATATGTTAATATATGTAACATATATAATAGCTTTAGAATAACAATATCAACATTAACAGTGTAATTGTTTTTTGGTTTTTTTGTGTGTGTGTGAGGAAGATCAGCCCTGAGCTAACATCTGTGCCCATCTTCCTGCATTTTATATGGGATGCCGCCACAGCATGGCTTGACAAGCTGTGGGTCGGTGCGCACCAGGGATCTGAACCCCGGGCCTCCACAGCGGAGTGTGCACACTTAACCACTACACTGCCGGGCTGGCCCCAACAGTGTAATTGTTGAAAACTCTGATTGTTGCAGTTCTTTTGCCCTTGTTGATATCTCACTAGGGATGTGTAGTTAAATTACTATGTTTTAAAATCACTTGTAATAATTTCTTTTGTGTGGTTTTGCCACCAACTTGATTCACAGTTAGGTTAATATGCTTATTGTTACTTTCTCTTTAGAAATTTTCCTTTTCATTTTGCCCTTTTTTTCTAATTATAAAAATATTAACTTGGTTTCAAAGTCAAATTGACTAAAAAGCTATACCCACAGAAGTCCTGCCTCTATCCCTGTCACCTTTATCTCCATTCACATATATATGGAGAGAGACAGAGGCAGAGAAAGAGAGAGAGACAGAAACAGAGAAACAGAGGGACAGAGGAAGAGAGAGAAAAGAGACAGGGGTGGGGGTGATTTTTAAGGAATTGGCTCAAGCAATTGTGGAGACTGGCAAGTCTGAAATTTGTAAGATAAGCCAGCAAGCTGGAGATTCAGGTGAGAGCTGATGTTGCAGTCTTAAGGCCAAATTCCTTCTTCTTTGGGAAACCTCAGGGCTTGCTCTTAAGGCCTTCAACTGATGGGATGAGGCCCACTCACATTACGAAGGGTAATCTGCCTTATTCCAAGTCTACTGACTTAAACGTTAACCACTTCTAAAAAGTAACTTCACAACAACATCTAAACTAGTGTTTGACCAAATGACTGGGCACTGTAGCCTAGCCAAGTAGACACAAAATTAACCATCACACATACACATATATATTTATATACATATGTTTGTATATATATGTACACAAACACACACATACACACATACTCTTCTTAGATAAATGGTAGTTTAGGATTCATGTTTTCTCTGTCTTGCTTTTTCACTTAACAATCTATCCTGGAAATTACTCCTGGCATTGTATAGAAGTAGTCCTTTTTCCGTCTTTCAACTGCGTGGTCTTCCATTATGTGGATGTAACATCATGGGTTCCCACCGTCCCTATTGGTGGACATTTGAGTTGTTTTCACTCTTTCGCTCTTACAAATCAGGCTACAGTGAATAGCCTTGCATGTAACTATTTTCATGTGCTATCATTTTGTAAAATGCATGTAAATGCCTGTGTGAGGAATGAAATTATTTTGGAACATTACTCAAATCACAGTGGTCTTTTACCCTTTGGTATTGTGTCAGTTAATGTCTTTGAAACACGTAGCTGCCATCATGTGAGAGTCTAAGAGAATCTCTAACATTTAAAAGGCATCCTCGGGCCAGCCCCATGGCTTAGCGGTTAAGTGCGCGCGCTCCGCTACTGGCAGCCGGGGTTCGGATCCCGGGCGCGCACCAACACACTGCTTGTCCAGCCACACTGAGGCTGCGTCCCACATACAGCAACTAGAAGGATGTGCAACTGTGACATACAACTATCTACTGGGGCTTTGGGGAAAAAAAGGAGGAGGATTGCCAATAGATGTTAGCTCAGAGCCAGTCTTCCTCAGCAAAAAGAGGAGGTTTAGCATGGATGTTAGCTCAGGGCTGATCTTCCTCACAAAAAAAAATAATAATAATAAAATAAAAGGCATCCTCAGACTGGATTATCAAGCATTTTTCATGCCCAGAATAAAACATATGAATAGTCCTGTTTTTTTTTTTTAGATTTTCTATCATTTATTGTTAAGCACAAAATAGGCATTTTAGAAGTGAAAATATACATTGAAAAAGTAATTTATATCACAAAGCATTGACCACATAATAGTTGCAAATACATTTGCTGGAATGTGTACATCTACACTAAATACTAAAAACAAACCAATTTTCATTTCTACACAGAAATATTAACCTCTTATCAGTAGTGATAGATATTTTGTACGTTTAGAAAAAACACTATTTTAAACCAAAAACAAAATTAAGATCATCAAGTCGTCTGCATCCATATATTTAACAAAGGTTTCCCCCACACACACATTGAAGCAAATACTGTATTGTCTACTTGTTATTATTGGCCCTGAGATACTGGAGGATGCTGAGACATTCCCTGGGGACTTGTCCGGCATAGTAGGCTGCTTGTTGTCTAACGTACTCAGCCCAGGCTGCACCATAATCTGGCTGACCACCTGGTGAAGCACCAGTAGGAGCAGACATGGCTTGATCCATGTTCTTGTAGTACTCTTCCCAAGCCTTGTATAGTCAACCTGTCCAGTTGTATGAATAGTTCTTGAAGAAAAAAAAATCCTCTCTCTCTCTAATTTTTTACTTAATTTTGCATATTATAAGAATGTTAATTAACTATTAACACAAAATGAGATATAAACTACTTAGGATTACAGTTCTTATATAATAACAAGACTAAACAACTTTACAAACTCAAAGCAAACAGATCTACAATGCTAATAACATTCCAAGCAACAGCACAAATTTAACTTCACAGATGATAATGGCCTTCACAGAGTGGAGCCATCCCCTTCATTGTGAGCATTGTACTGATTCAGGAGGAGGGAAGGGCAGGTTCTTTGGGATTTAGTTCGCCGTCCTTCTGTGCCCTGTTCATGGTTTGATTCTCTCATCACTTAACTCTATTCAAATGACTGTGAAAACTGCAGCACACCAGCCCCATTCCATCACTTGGCCTCAATTACTATAAATTAGGTTGACCTCTGTTCCCATATGTTCCTATTTGACAATTGCAGATACACCGCTTACGCTAACACGACCCCCACCACGTCAGTACTAGACTTAGGTTCAGTCTGATGACCCTGAACATTACATATATACATATAGGAATGTACATGAATATATGTATACACACACACACACATATACACATTTTCATTTTAATTTTTCCCAAAGTTTCACATCTAGTAAGCACTAGAGCTGAGATTCAAACCCAGGCCTTTCTGTTCCACCAAACCACCAAACTAGAAGAGGCCAGTGGTTTTTCATGACTTGGGGAAGTGAAGGTGGAAGTGGATGTGGGTCATTGGGAGAGCCCTGGGATCTGAATCCAGGTAACTGTAGCCCAGCTCTACTACTAGCTTCGTGAATTAGGACGTGTTCCTGAACTTCTCTGGATTTCAGCTTCCTCATCTGTAATGTGAGAGGGCTGGATAAGATCATGGCTAGGGCCCTTTACAGTTCTAAAATTCTGTGAGTTTTCTATACTGGCAAAACATTCCATATATGACAGAGGAATGACTTAAGCAGCATTCTCCCTTTTTGCTGTGGAATTTCCATGTAAGCATCAACCAATGGCGTCAAAGAAGGACTGGGATATTATTCTGCAAATTTGGGAAATGTCTATTCCAAGTAATTTAATGCTAAAAGGATGACTATTTGATTGAATGATATAGTTTAAAAAAGCTATACTCTATCTTGGAATCAACAGGTTGGAATAGAAAAGACGTTTAGAAATCACTCAGTACAATCTCTCATTTTACTGATGCAAGTTATGTGATTTCCCCAGACCACACAGCTTGTTTGTATTACAGACAGATTTATTATCTGAGTTATTGAGATCTAACATACGATAACGCCCTCAAAATTATTTTCTCATATTCACCACGAAAAATACAGAAAAAGAAAGCAGTATAAGAGACTGGTTAAGTATAGGCTGTGAAATTAAATTGCCTGGGCGCAAATTCCAGCAGCACCGCTTACTGTGTGATTTTGAGCCAATTATATAACCTCTTCATGTCTCTTCTTCTGTAAAATGAGGGTGACAATAATTGCACATACCTCTAGTTTATCAGAGAACTAAAATAGTAATCCATGTAAACTATTTAGTATGTTGCTTGGCATACAGGAAATGATATTAGCTAGCATTAAGATTAGACTGTGCATTGAATTGGCTAAATTTGGTTTAATATTTCAACTGCACTTTTTTCACTGGTATTCAGGATCAGAATTATTCTAAAATGATCTTTCAAGGATTGTCAGTCTATGAGTTAGAGTATGATAAAAGTGTCCACTAGGAAAAATGAACTCTAAAATTATTTTTAAGAAGGATGGACCCAAGTATAGAGCTATTTTCCACTGCAGTACACTAAGGTCAAGTTATTCCCTTAAAACCTTGCAAAAATGAATCAGAAATTGTATTTAAGTAACATTTCATCCACTGCATTTCTCAAAATTTTTGTCCCCCATTAAGCAGTCAATGATTTGATTTTTCCCAGTGGATGGACATTGCTTTAACATCACCATATTTAACTGACAGTGATTAAATCCATTTAACACACTGTGTATAATTTCAAAAGGCCTTTACGACTGTTTATCTCATCTTTATGGACCTTTAAACTTAACAGCTTTGGTTGCAATAAAGAAGTGATTTCCAAAAGTTAAGCATCTCCTCAAGGCCACTGCCAGGCTGTTCAGTTGATCAAAATTATGATGTCATCCAGACACAGACTTTCACATGTCCTTGCTCTTCAACTTGTCCACTAATTAACAATATGGAGAGCGAGACATGGTCTCCTCATTAAGCAAGGACATTAGTCAAAGGAAGTATCAGTTCTGGGAATACAAATGTTGTAGTTTTGCTTTGGTTCAATAGTTTTAGGATAATATATAAGTTCATTTAAAACTCATAGTACAATAACCCATTTCCGTGTTATCCACTCCTCTCCTTCCCCTTCTGAAATGTTAAGGTGGCCGATCATAAACACAGAGCCCCAGAAGATTATAATCAAAAGAACTAGCTCAGCGGCACATTCCCCAGCACACATTTTCTAACCATTCATTTTCCCAGCACTCCTTCTTTTGCCCTCTCCCTATTAATAAAAGGTCCCCAGCCTCCCAACTTTTGACATCTTCATTAATCCTGTCTATCTACACTAGTCCACCTTGCTGCCATACACACAAAGAAAACACACTTCTTTTCAGTATTCTAATGTTTCTCAAGTTCAGCTCTTCATCCCCCACCCCCTCAGCACCCACCACCCACACCTATACCATATTTGTGTTTATTCCATTGGACCAAATGTAATTCTTTCACCAGGTAGTCCTTCATCTTAACCAGCAAGACAAGGAAATCCAAGAAGACAGAGCTTCAGGATGCCAGACAGACATAATTTTATTAAAAGAGGAATGAACACTTTCACTATCCATCCAAAAGATACTTAGGGGACAAAAAGAGTAAATTAAGGTAGACTAATACGACTAATGACTTGAGGGATGAAAAAATTGGTGAGGAGATGATCACATTTCCTAATAAGTGTATCATATCCCACTTTTCTAAGTACTGTAAAATAATGTTAAAATTAGAGCTAGAAGAGTAACAACTCTACCAGTCCTAACAGCTGTAAAATTAATTCTGTGACTCTTTTCACAAAGTCACAGTGACATGGTAAGCAAACTGACAATCTCTTTAACCTCTTCAAGACCAGCATTTCTCAACTGCGGTAGTATTAATATTTTAGGCAGGATATTTCTTTGTTGTGGGGGCTGCCCTGTGCATTGTAGAATGTTTAGTGGTGCCCCTGGCCTCTACCCACTAGATGCCGGTAGCACCTCTCCTCCAGTTGTGATCATCGAAAATGTCTCCAGACATCTCCAAACATCCCCTAGGGGGCAAAATCTTCCCAGATTGAGAACCACTCTCATAGATTAAACTGAAGACTTGTCCTAGATTTGGAGTCAGTAAACTCAGCCAATAGACCAAAAGAAAAAGCCACTGTCTGTCTTTGTAAATAAAGTTTTATTGGAACACAGCCACACTCGTTCATTTACTTATCATTTATGGCTGCTTTCTCACTAAAACAGCAGAGTGGAGGAGTGGTGATAGATATTGTATGACCCGTAAGACCAAAAATATTTACTATCTGGCTCTTTAGAAAAAATGTTTGCCAACCCTTGTCCTAGTCTACTGGTTTCAAACATTTTTTTAGTGATGACAATTTTTTATAATGAAGTCTTACATAAAACTTGTGTCAGACAGGGTCCAGATGGAACATTCAACTTGAGTAATTTGAAGAAGTAAAGCATATGTGGAATAATTTTTCTAGGCAATTTCAAAGGTATGGCAGAATATAAAGAAATCACAAAGAGCTAAGAAAGCTGGCCATTACTGTATTACCATCTCTAGCCCTGAAGGGGAGAGGACTAAGATAACCCTGTAGGAAGGGGGCCAGAGGAATGAATACCTCCCTCACATTCCCCATCCCAATCTCACGCTAGTGATCACCAATGACCAAATCCAAACAGAAGCAAGAGGGCAAGATTACCCATTGATGTGGTCCTTATAGGTCAGGCTCCTGGGTCACAGAGCAGAGTGTAGAAGGGTGGAGAGTGGATCTGGGGGCAAACAGAAGACACCCAGCATGGAGCCCCAATATCTGAAACTGATCAAAGCAAAGCTTCTGTGATGTTAGTAGGAGAACATGCTGAGATCAGCACAGACTGGCCTTTTCTCTGACTCACTGATCCAGGTTGAAATATGGAACACAGTTTGAAAATTCTGTCCTAAATCCTCTTCTGGCCTTCTGACCTCATTTATCTCTTTTCTGAAACAAAATCCTATAGTCAGATATTTCAGTGGTGTCTTTTCTAACAAACTACAGTACTTAAACCCATTCCCACCATTCAAACCTTCAAACCCATGTACCAGACATGCCCGCATCCCTCCCTGCTCTCTACCTTTTCTGCTCATGTCCTCAAGCTGCTAAACATTGATAGAAAAATTTTAAATACCCTGATTACTGAATCCAACACAGTTTCATAATATCAGACAACAACAGGGTCATAACTGCTTGCTCAGTTTCCCATGACTTTCAGCCTTTACTAAAACTGCCCTGAATATCCTAATGACTGAATCTGATAGCCTTTTCCCAAAACTTTAGCAGTCTTAACCTCTCTGCAGCAAAGATCTTGCCATTATTCCTTCCCTCCTGATTTACTTCTTCCTCTGGCTTCCATAGCACCATATATTCTAGGGGATTTTTTTCCTGCTTCTTTGACCAGCTCCTCTTTGCATCCTTTACAGGTGCTTCTAATTGAGGGAAAGAATTTTCTCCAAAGGACCTAATAATAAATGATAACCCCAATAATACAATTAAAGCAAATAAAATGAGTAGAGTTTCAGAATGCTACATCTTGTAGAATGCCAATAACATTTTCTGGAAAACTAAGAATCTTATGAATAATTAGTTTCTGTGCAACTGGTAAATAACAAGATATGATTTCCCTCCAAAATCTTCTTACATTATGCATTTCTTTTAATGTTCCCATTTACCCAGTCCTGAAACCTCAAAGTGAGGAGAGAATAGATGTTTTAAAACTGGAAGGATCTTCAAAATCATCTGCCTCAATTCCATCATTCTATGGATGAGAACATTAACTTGCCATCTCCTTTGCATTCAAATAATGTTCTAAGGGAATATTCCAGCCACTCCTTTTATTAGCCTTTCCCTCTTGGTCTTAGTGATCTTATAATAGTTTTAACTCTCCCCTCTGTGAAGTCCTACCAGATCTTCATCTACAGGTTTTAGTCTTTGTGATAGTTAATTTTGTGTCAACTTAACTGGAATACAGGGTGCCCAGACATTTGGTCAAACATTAATCTGGGTGTGCCTGTGAGGGTGTGTCTGGATGAGATTAACATTTAAATTGGTAGGCTGAGTAAAGCAGAGTGCCCTCTCTAACGTGAGTGGAACTCATCCAACCAGTTGAAGGTCCAAATAGCACAAAAAGGCTGAGTAAGAGAGAATTTCTTCTGCCAGACTGCCTTTGAGCTGGGACGTGGCTTCTTTCCTGTCTTCAGACTCAAACTGAAACATCAACTCTTTCTGGGTCTTGAGACTGCCAGCCTTTGCACTGGAACTATACCATCAGCTCTCCTGGGTCTCCAGCTTGCCAACTGCAGATCTTGGGACTTACCAACCTCCATAATTGTGTGAGCCAATTCCTTGAAATAAATCGTATGTATATAATTGGTTCTGTTTCTCTGGAAAACCCTGATTAATACAGTCTTCTTTTGAGCTCTAGTCCAATATTCTCAAAACTGAGCTTAAATCTCCAACAGGGTGTATTGTAGGGAGCTCCAACTCAATAAATGCAAAATGTAATTTTTTTCCATTTTATTCACCCATTGACTTATTCACTCAATAAGCACTTATGGAATGTCTACTATGTGCTAGGTATGTAAATTGAGGTTCTGGCCTCAATTTATTGAGTAGCAGAGTCAACAGATATGTTACAAAAAATAAAAGTCACAATTCCCTGTGACAAGCACCATAATAGAAATGTGCAAGGCAAAGTGATAGTCCAGAGGGCATGAAGTACACTGTCTGAGTTGGGGGGCTGCTACTAGGAAAGACTCCCTGAGGAGTAAGGCTTGGTGGGGCAAGGGTCACCTGGTGGACAGGTAGGATGATTTGATAGAGAGAAATATTTCCAGCAAAGTAAAAAACACATACAAAGGAAGTCAATGAAATAGCTGTGGAAATTAAAGTAGTTAGGTGTTCAAGAATAGCAAGAGTTAATTATGATTTCCAAGTATGATGAGAATAAAATTATTGAAGTATACAGGTTCCCAATTTTTTCCTCTATGTGTCTGTTAGAAACAGTTTCGGTATAACTTTTTAGTTCCTTCCCCTTCCTTGCCTTCCAAGGAGATCCTGCCTTGTCAATCCAGTTTTTGGGCTTTTTAATGGAAGGGAGGGAGGGAGGGAGGATTAGAAGGTAAAAAAGATTAGGGTTAGCAGGTATTCAATTTTTGTTTTTTTCTTGGTGGTAGTGTTTTTGTTTTTATATGGGAATAAAACTGTCGGAGACAGTAACTACATTGATAAGGGCAATGGATGGAAGAAGGAAAAAATACCTATTTAAAGAATGATTACTGAGGGACTTGATGACCTCCTTATGATGTAAGAAAAATAGTTGCATTTCAGTTATTTCGAATTTGCCCTATTTAAACGACAGGACAATTCAAGGACTAATCTATGTGGATCATTGCTTAAACACTACGGTTATTTCTCCTAATGATAACGTCATTCTCTCCATCCGTCTAGACATGAAATCTTGAAGTGGTAGAAGGGAATTTGACTGAGCCTGATCCATTTCCTATTGTGGGCATGGGACCACAGTGCCTTATTCCAAGCAGCCATTCTATATCCTGGACATGATGTTTAGTTAAGAAATAGGAACATGACCGAACTCAGCTCAATGAGATACAAGAAGGTGTTTTCCCCCTCTAGAAATGAAGCTCTTTCATTTTTCTGTTTAAGAGACATTTCTCTTTTCTCTGTGCTTCATAAGGAGCCCCAGGCAGAGCCAACCCAGAGAAAGCAGAGCTGAGAGATGCATCTTGGTGATATTATTTGAATCCCGGTTCAAGCCAAAGCTGAAGCTTCTCCTTCAATTTATTTTTCACAATTGCACCAGATTAGTCTTCCTAAGGCATCATTTTGATTGCTTAAAAACCTCCTTAGTGACCACACAATGAAATCTCAACTCATGGTCTGATGTTAAAGTTATTTCGTTACCTGACACCAACTCAATCCCATCCATGCTTGCTCTCTCTCACTTCACCTCTCATGCCTCATGTGCTAGCTCCATTGAAGAGGGGAAGAAAGAACTTTTGCTCGTATTGTTTCTTATTCTTGGAATAATTTATCTCATAATCTTAACATACTGATACTCTTCATAGCCTTAAGCTTTAGCTTAAATGACAAAGAAATCAATATGTTTTTCTTTTAAATTCATATGGTCATCAGTTTTTAATGCTCCCATGGTACCTACCATCTACCACCTTTTGGTGTGAATGCTATTGTAAATTCCTTATGAGCCATGTCCATGGCTCATACAAAAATATTTATTGAGTAGCTACAATGTATTGGGCATTACACCAGGTTCTGGATAATGATGATGATAATGATAATAGTAGTAGTAGTAATGAGGAGGAGGAGGAGAAACAACTAATATTTTTTTAGCATGCCTTTTGTGCCAGGCCCTAGTCTAAGAATTTTATATGTATTAACTTGTTTAATCTTCACGACAGCCATATGAAGCAGATGCTATTTGTTTCTCCCATTTTACATATGAGAAAACTGAAGAACAGAGATGGAATAAATCGCCCAAGTTCTCACAACTTTAAATATCAGAGTCAATATTCAAACCCAGGCAGTCTATACATTTCTTATGCAAGAGGAGGTTCTTTGAAGAGAACAACCCCTCCCCCACCTTCTCATCTGTTAGCTAAGCCTTACTTCCTAAGTCAATAAAAATGTATTCAAAATATATTCAATATATTGGCAATTATTCCTAATGGCCAAGAACTGGAGACAATCCAAATGTCCTTCAACAAGAAAATGGATTTTATGGGATATTACTCAGCAAAGAAAAGGAACGAACTACTGATACATGTAACAACGTAGATGAATCTCAAAAGCATAACACTAAGTGAAATAAAGTAGTGGCAGAAAAGCATATAATGTGTGAGTCCATTATATGAAGTTCTAGAAAATGTAAACAAACCTATACTGGCAGGAAGCAAATCAGTTGTGGCCTGGGGTTAAAGCCCCTTAGAAAGGGGTAGAGATGACTTTTGGGAGTGATAGAAATGTTCTGTATATTGATTGCGGCAGCAGTTCCATAGACTATACATTTGTCAAAACTCATCGAATTGCACTTTTTAAATAGATGCAATTTATTATATGGAAATTATACCCCAATAAAGTTGATTTAAATTTATTAACACAAACAAAAAAAAACAAATAGACAAAAAAACCTTGGCATTCTACCACCAGAGACTGGAGTCAAAACTATGCTAATTCCCAATGTTTTTTGTTTAGAAGAATACACTCGCAGGCACTAATATTTGCAACATTTATAAATTTGTTTGACAAAGAATTTCAAATGTCTTTTTAGTAAAAATAACTCAGCCCCAGAAAGTATAATTCCTACTCAATTATCAGAGTAGCTAAAAATAGTTTAATGTCATATTTCACTAATTGGTCAAAATATTTTAAGTAACATAAATACTTAAATTTTTACAGTCCGAATTTTTATTTTAAATCCAATTGCAGCAGCCAGCCTGAAAGATGACCACCAATTATCTTGTCTCTTGGTATGTGTATTCTTGAATGGTCCTCTCTCACATTTTACCAGGGTTGGTCTGTGTGACCAATAGAATATAGAAGTAATTAGAAGTAATTGTATGTCACTTCTAAAATTAAGTTATAAAAAGACTGTACATTCTATCTTGGATGCTCTCTCTCTCTTTCTCTCCCTCTTTCTTAGATCACTAGCTCTGGGAGAAGCAAGCTGCCGTGTTATGAGGCCACTTGGCCTGCCTATGGAGAAACCCACACGGGAGGAACTGAAGTCTCCTGCCATTAGCCAGTAAGGAACTGAGGCCTACTAATAATCACAGGAGTGAGCTTGGAAGATCATCCTTCCCCAATCAATTCATCAGATGAGACTGCAGCCCCAACCAACAGCTGACTACAACCTCATTAGAGAGTGTTATGGGCTTAATTGTGTCCCACTCAAATTCATATGTTGAAGTCCTAACTCCCACTACCTTTGAATGTAACTATATTTAGAGATAGGGCTTTCAAAGAGGTGATAAAGTTAAAATGAGGCTATTGAGGTGGGCCAGAATCCAATCTGACCAGTGTCCTTATAAAAGCAGACTTGGACTCAAAAAGAGACACCAGTGAGTGTGTGCACAGAGGGATGATCACATGAAGAGGCATGAGAGGCAAGCTGTTGCAAGCCAAGGAGAGAGATTTCAGAGGAAGCCAACCGTGCCAGCACCTTGCTCTTGGACTTCTAGCCCCCAGAACTGTGAGAAAACAAATTTCTGTTGTTTAAGCTACTGAGTCTGTGGTATTTTGTTATGGCAGCTTTAGCAAACCAGTACAGACCTCCTGAGCCAGAATCACCAAGCTAAGCTGCTCCTAGATTCCTGACCCACAGAAACTGTGAGATGATCAGTGATTGTTGTTTTAAGCTGTTAAATGTGGGGGTAATCTCTTATTCTGCAATAGATAAGTAAGATAAGATAAATAGATAAGACCTAAATGCTTAAATTCCTTGTGGTATGGTGACAAGTGATTTGCCTTCCTAAATCTGTTCTATAATTAAATGCCATATTGTTTTTGGCAAATGTTACAGACAAATTTTTTTTGGTCTGAATTGCCCAGAAACTATTTATGCATGGAGTTTATTTTTTCCATCCACATTATTTAATTTTAAAGGGAAGAAAATAGCACATAAACAATGGATTAAACTATACATACCTTAAAAATAATCTATAATTTTACAAAATTTCCCTTTAATATTTATTGCTTATTTTTTTAAATTGAGATATGATGGACATATACTGTGTAAGTTTAAAGTGTATAATATGCTGATTTGATACACTTATACATTGCAACATGATAACCACAGTTGCGTTAGCTAACACCCCCATCACATCACATAATTGTCATTTCTTTTTTGTGGTGAGAACATTTATGATCTAGTCTCTTAACAACTTTCAAATATATAATACAGTATTGTTAACTATAATCACAATGCTGTGCATGAGATCCCGAGAACTTATGCATCTTCTACCTGCAAATTTGTACCCTTTGACCAACATTTCCCCAATTCCCCCACTCCCCCCCCAGCCCCTGGGAACCACCATTCTACTCTTCGTTTCTATGACTTTGGCTTTTTTAGATCCACATATAAGTGAAATCATACAGTATTTGTCTTTCTCTATCTGACTTACTTTTTTAGATATTTAACAGTGCATGTGTAAACACTTCTTATCCTATTTTCCTCTTGAAAGGAAAGTCTCAGAGATAGAGGAAATGTTTCTATCCAATCTTATCACTGTTCATTCTACATAACTTAATAGAGGGTCTTTAAACTGGTTTTCAGTTCTGATGATGAATATTAAACCAACATATTTCATCTCTTCACTGATTTGTTTATTATCCATTCATTCAGCAGGTGCTTAATGTCTAGTGTATATCAGGCACTCTTATAGGACAGGAGGATATAGCAGTAAATGAAACAGGTGAAAATCTCTGCTCATGGAGCTTGTGGAAAGAGACAGCAATAAACAAGAAAAATAAGTAAAATATATAATATGCTGGATAGTGATAAGCACATAAAAATAACACACCAACACTTAGAAACATTTCTGGCCACGACCAACTCCCTTTGGATGGTGAGTAGAAATGGGAGGATGTTGGGCTGGTAAGTAGAGGAGTCTCTTGTAAATGATACCATATTAATAATTTTTAGTATATCTTGTAAACTTTCAGGGGTGAGGGTATATTCTTGTTTCAGTGCTATTCATTTTTAAGCTAATTTTCATGGTTTATTTCAACATGTAGTTCTTTTTTGCAGTTATGTTCAGATTACAATGAGAGTTTATCAGCAGAAGAATTGTATATACTTGAAATGTCTTCAATTAGCATAAAAATTAAAAGCATATTGGGTATCAATGTTTTCTCCTTGATAATGAGATTGTAATTATAGGAAACTATCACCAACTGCTGATGGCCTTTGTGTCCATTATATTCTGAGACAATAGTTTTAAAAGTAAACATGACATTACCATGGTCAGAGGATATGTTTTATAGTTAGCTTCAGAACATGGATATTTTTCTGACCTAACATATCCATGAAAAATGCAGTGTGTGTGTGTGTGTGTGTCTGTGTGTGTGTGTGTGTGTGTGTATGTGAGAGAGACAGCGAGATTACTGGACATTATACATACATGGTTATGAGTAGAGAGAGGAGAATGGGCAAAGAGCCAGAAAAATAAGCAATAAAAAGTCCTTGGTGTGTGGTCAGGCATGAAGTTGTACTTGGGCCTGCAGTGACTCCAGTAATGAGTTAATAAACCAAATGAGTTAATAAACCAAAGTATGTGTCCATCTTAGATGTTCAGAGTCCAAAGCACTTGAAACAAAATGATTTACATGACCAAGTTCCCCTGAGTCAGGATCATACTCTTGTATCATCCCCAAGATCCCTTAAATATTTAGCAGAGCCATCTGTACTGTTGAAAAAATAATCTCCACAAAGCTCTCAAGACCACCTCCATGCACAGTACTGTAAACACCATTGAATAAAATGATTTATAGTGGGTGGCAATCTATTCTTTCTCCTACCACCTCCCAAAACTAAAAGTCATAAAGTAAATAGTAGATGCTCTTTATTTTTGTTTTGAGTCAGGAAGCTTGGCAATTTCTCTATAGTCAGAAATGTTCATTGGGGATAAAGTAAATTTTTATCTAAAAATGTGAATGTTTTTACTAAGAACAATGTTCATCCCAGAACAAGGCAATATTAGTCACAATACACATCAACAAAATGTTCTCAGGGTTCCATAGTCTCTGGATGGGTGGCATGCTTGGGAGAGAGGAATTCATCATCAGGAAAATCACAGCAATTCACTCTCATATAGAATTCTGGGTTCAATCCTTGCCTATCACTTATTGGCTGAGTGACATTCAATGAGTTACCTTACTGTCTCAAGTCTCCGTTTCTCCATCTGCAATAATTTTGTAGAGAAGGAAATATAATTTTTCTTCTGAGGAAAAGCTGAGTTCTTCTAGCTGAGTTCTAGCTGAGACCCCTGTAATAAAAGATTCATAAGAGAAGTCTGGTGCCTTCTCCATTACTAAGATTCTCTTGTGATTTAGAGTCATCCTTCTCTTCCTGGTACAGAGAGGGAACCACCCTTACACATGGAGATTTCCTGTATAAATGTAATTTTCCTTACAAAGGGGAACTTCTACTCTGTTTTCAGAGCTTTTCCTGTGTCTGCTGTTTCTTATAATAATCAGCTCAAAATAATCCTTATGCCCAAGAGGCGTATTTTGGGCCAGCATATTCTGTTACCCTTCCATGTGATACTAAAAATGCCTGCATCATAGGATTGCCATGAAGGTGAAAGGAGCTAATACGAGTAAGGTATTCAGAACACAGTTGGAACATAGAAAGTGCCTAATAAAAGTTAGTCATTATTATTTCAGAGCAACAGTTCTCAACGTGTAGTCCCTGGACCAGCAGCAGCAACATCACCTGGGAACTTGTCAGAAATACAAATTCTCGGGCCTCACCCCAGACCAAATGAATGAGAAACTCTAGAAGTAGGACACAGCACTCTGTTTTAACAAGCCCGGCAGGTAATTCTGGTACACACTGAAGTTTGAGAATCACGCTTATAGAATATAGGGTAAAACACAAAATAAGTTCTAAAATTCATTACTAAGAACTTTTGTGTTTTTTGTGACTATTTAAATGAGAGAGAATGCTTGATTTTATTTTTTCTAAATAACGAGGAAAAGAATTCCAACAATGGCTTGAGAACAGTAGGATTTCAGTAGGATAATTCTTACCATCTAATTTTTGACTTTGCTAGATAGACTACTTCACACCACACAATTGTGTTCCAAGAGATCTATTATTGAATTGTGTTCATGTATTTTGTAAAGCCAAAGATACAATGGAAAAACTCACGTAAAGGAGGGAGAGCCTACAGTATTGGTGATAATCATGAGATTGTACATTGGAACACAGCCTATTACTCATTAATCTTAACTATTTCCATAAACGATATTGTGTGACTGTGAGACTGGAGCATGGGCATATGCTGAATCAGTGACAAAGCTAGACACGGGCATATAACTCAGGATTTCTAAGTCTGTGCATTTTGTTGCTTGAATATAGTCAATAAGATGTATACATAGCTAAAGGTAAAATTGCCATTTAGAACAAAGTGATCCAAAATGTATATTTTTATCTCTTCATCCTCCACACTGCTGCCATAGAGATTTTACTGAAGTACACATTTAATCATGTCACTGTATGGTTTAAAAGACTTAAATGGCTCCCTTAAACCTGACACATGAGAGCCCTTGTAATCTGGCTACTGCACGGACCCCAATTCTATGACACCTTCTTCATGGAGCCTTCCTCACTGACCCACCCCCCCATCACTAGGGAATGGGTCTCTCCTAACTCAAAGCTTCCTGATGACCATGTGCAGACCTCTAGTAGTAAATTTCACATCATATTATGACTGTAGTTTGAATGTCTGTCTCTCGACAAGACTTGTACTTAACTTTTACTGACAGCAAGAAGTGCATTTTCATTTTTGTGTCCCCAGCAATTGGCATAAAACCCAGCACAAAAGAGACACTTAGTAAATACAGACTTTCTGTGGGTCTAAAATGTGATATCTATGCATGGGTCAGAGGATCAGCCCAGGATAACCCAGTGATCGCCTGGAGCCTCCCTCCACCTGTATAAGCGTCAAAATCTTTGAATTTTGAGAAAAAGCTCTGCCACTTCCAAGGTTCCGGTGTCATCCTCATTCTAGCAGACACAGCCTCCAAGACAGAACATCCCATCTCCGGCCACTCTCTTCTGACAGCCACTAAAACTCATTTCATTTAAGACGTTCTGAACCCCAAAGTTACTACATCAGGTGATATTGGATTGAAACTCTCCATTTTTACCCCAAGCTCTAAATCATAAGCTTTATGGCTTGAAGACTTAAGTCAAAGCTGCAAAATGAGCTTGGTGTAGCAGTTT